TACGAAGATGTGACAATATCTTCAAGTCTTATACCTATTCTAGTCATCATGTTTTTACAAGATGCCACAATAAAATGAGCTTTTACTTTATGAGGTGTAAGTTATCCAAATGATTTTGCTATCCCAAAAATTATTATAGAACCACTTATGTCAATTTCAATGATTTCAATTAAGCAACCGAGTTCAGCATTGATATTATAGCCATCATCACAAAAATTCAATCCTTTTCTAGCTAATATTAACATTGCTTTAATAGGTCCACTTGGGGTTTGATAGCATAAATGGATGAAATGAGAAAAGTTTACAAATATTACAACAACTTTAAGATAAGATTCCCTTTTCCTAGTGTTTATATTTATAATTAAGTAAATAACGTCATTGAAGTTTGACTAACACATGTGGGTGTGAATCTAAGTTATAGCTTTGGCCCAATAATTTGTGATCCAAAAGGAATGATGACCCAATCCAAATAGAAAGATTGCTCAAAATTACTAAAAATCAAGCTCTCTTTCAAAGTAGCCTTATTCTTTTAAATTTTATAACACCCATAAATTTTGATTTTAATTATGAAAGCTTGATCTATAGGGTTTTCAAATAAAAGAGTGATAATATTTAGCTTGATTAGACTATTGGTAGTGAGCAACATAGTACAAGGGTTGGGTTTTCTACTAGCAATGAATGAACATAACAATTTCATGTTTTACTTTTCACTGGCCACATCTAGTTTCCTAGGCTAAATTTCATAGAATGTCTTTCATTGGCCTTGAAATTGGAATTACATAATCAAGGTAGAGAAATCCCATATTATAAGTCTTATGGTTTTCAACCATTGAACCCTAACACCACATCATAACCTTTCAAGGGTAAGGTTATAAAGTTAGTTGTGAACTCTATCTCCAAGATTGATCATTGTAAATTTTGACACAACCCAGCAGTCCACACACTTTCAACATTTGCTATGGCAACACCAACTTGATAGTTCTATCTATTATATAATCCTAGCGCTTTAACTAATGATGTGTGTATAAAATTGTGGGTGTTCCTAGAATCTACCAACACAATCAATTCATGATTTTTTACCATTCCTTGTATCTTTATGGTTTGGAATCTGAAAGTACCATGCATTGTGTGTAAAGAAATCAATGTGATCATTCTTTCTTTTACAGCCATCAACACTTTAAGATTGTCTATACAATCAGAAAATTCTTTTGTTTCACCTTTTTTTTTTTACGATCATCAACAAGTAATTGATATTATTAAGATCTTATGCATTTATAGCCCATTATATACTTAACTCCACACTAGTTATATAATCTGTTCTTCATCCTATTCTTTATTTCAACTACTGTAGGTCTTTTAGTAATGGGCCTTGAACTATTTGTGCTAATATAAAAGGGTATGGTTTCTATCTGATGGTTGGTTAAAGGTTTTTATGTTAGTTATTTGAAAAATGTTAAGATCTGGTGGAGCTTTGGTATTGGTACTAAAGGAGGCAAGTTACCAGCTCTTGTGTGAGTACTGGTAGAGATGGTTTGGTATATAGTAAAAGTTGGTTTTAAATAAGTTTAAGTTCTTTTAATGTCAAGGTCAATAATAAACTCAATTTGTTTAGCTAAATGTAAAGCTCAATTCAAGATGGTAGGCCTAAAAAGTTTAATGGATTTAAAAATATCTGGTTTTAAGTTATTCATAAAGATGTTCAAGGCCTAAGAATCAGACAACTATAAAAGATTTAAGATACTTAAAAAATCTTCATAAAATTGCTTTACAATGGTTGTTTGCTTTAGTTCTACTAGTTTAGCCGTGGGATCATGACGTTCTTTATATGTAAATCTATTTTTTATCTCTTTAATATAAGCTACCCATATCAAGTTATTAAACCCCCCTCAAGTCTTGGTATAGTATTGATGCCATTACAATGCTTCCCTTCTAGACTCAACATTACAACTTTTACTTTAGTAATTTCAAAAACTTTTTCAACCTTAAAATACTGTTCTAGTTTCATGAACCACCTTTTGAAATCTTCCCCACAAAATTTAGGCCATTCCAATTTAATTTAGATGAATTTAGAAAGAAATACTTGTTTTGGGATGTTGGCCAAAAGTTTTTGAAATTTTTCTTACTATAAAATGGTTTTAGAGCTTCAATGCTAGAGGCCAATTCTTTTCCCATTATTTTCTCTAGGTTTCTGACAAAAACTTGATCTTTTTTTTACTTTCACCATTATTAGAAGCCATCTCAAGCAGTTTCTTTAAGTGTTCCAATAGTTGAGTCTACATTATTTTAAACCTTCATGTTATCTTTGCATCCATTGTTGCAAACCTCTACTCCATCTTTACATCCATTGTTGCAAACCTCTACTCCATCTTTGCATCCAGTTATTGAATATCATTTTGTAGCTTGGAGATTTCTTAGGCATTTTGATTGATTTTCTTTTGTACCCTAATGGCGATCCCTTTAGCCATGAGTGCCAAGTTGAAGCTTTGATACCAATGTTTTAGTTATTATTAAATTTTAATCAAAACCTAGAAGAATTTCTAAAAGTTACAGAAAAGATAATAGAAGAAAGAAAAAAAATTTAAAGAATGGCAAAATAAAAAAGATAAGAGATTTTGTATATTGCATTTACCATAACAGTACAATGCCCCTTCTACTCTTATTTATGTCAATTTAACCACCATGCAGTTGCATCTGAGATTCTCGATAGCCATTTTTCTCCCATTTCCCTCAATAGAAATAACAACTTGAAATAAAATAAGAATAAAGGGCTTGATTCTAATATAGGCTTAACATTAATATAAAGGCACAACCTATTAGTTAAAACAATAGTCCAGTGTAAATAAACTCGTAACAATATATCCATATAATTTGGCCCATAACATTTAAATCTTAGAAAAACTTATCAACTATACATATACCAACCCATCTTACAATACAAATCAAAATCAAAATCCTTCATTCAAAATCAAAGCAATAAAAGATAGAGAAGCAAACATGAAAATTTATCTCAAATTTTTAATTGAAAGAAGAAAATGAGTAGAGAACTTACATGCAAGATTAGGATGTCTAAAAAAAAGGAAGGTGTGAATGAATGAAATGACCCTAAAATATATGATAACATCTAAAATTATAGTAATTTTACATGTTAAAATAAGTGCTAAATTTTGAATTTGGATGGATTTTGGTGTCATTAATGCTATTTTTGTGATTTCTAAGGTTTAAGTTTATGAAGTATGACTTTCATGCAATTCATGCATGCAAGCATGCAAGATGCACATTCGGCCATACCATGAAGTTTGTGGTTGAACCCTATTGGTCCATCATCACCAATCCATGTGGCCAAGTGAAAAAAGTGCCACATGAACGAAGACTCTATTCATATTTGGCTATAACCATTCCAAGAAGAGATAAAATTCAAATGAAGAGGTCAAAGCCCTTAAAAATACTAGATAGGTTCGGCCAAAGGTGTTTGAGCTCAATGAGGACTCTTTTGCTTATCCTTTGAAGAATTATACATGGAGTAGGCCTGTCGCTATTAGAATTTAAAGAGTTTAGATAAGAAACAAGTACTTTGTCTTAAATCAAACCTTAGTTAAACCTAGGATGGAGATTGAATCACGATTTAATCTAATAAGATCAAACAGTCAAGATGATATCCTAAGAATCCTAATCGACCAAGCATTTTCAAGATCAAAATGTCCATGTTCGACCAACTCTTTGAAGATAAAGATCAACCCTATCCATTAGCATTTGAATTAAATTAAACTTATTGTAATTTTTATCCTTTTAGCCAAACTTATGCCTGTAAATAGGTAAGGTCTTTTCACTTGTTCACAATTCTCACTTCTTACCATTCTTTTCCCATTCTTTTCTTTAACTTTTCTCTTTAGTTTCCTTAGTTATTAGTTTAAGTGATAGATTTGTCAATTTAAACTTTCTTTTAATAAAAGCATTCTTCATTCAAGTTCTTTTTTTTTTTTTTTCAAAAGCTTAATTTCTACTTTACTTTCTATTTTACAATATTGTTTTCTTGATTTAATTTTTAGCACGCGTTCTTTTGGTTTACAAGTTGTTTCAAGCATTCTTACTCTAAAGCTAAGTTTCAGCCATTACTACTACTTTCTCCCTAAATTCTAGTTTCCATGCACTTAGTTCTTTTGTTCGTTTATGCTTTACAAGTCTTGACATTTACTACTTGTTTTTATTTCTCATGTGTTCGATCTTATTTTTTTTAGCTATATTCGACCGCACCTCTTTTACTTACCAAAGTAACATTTGGTTAAGTAAAGATCTAGGCCTATATTGTTTTCAATATCTCATTCTTTGTTTTTTTTTTTTTAATCATTATAAGTATTCACTTGTTTAAATATAAAAGTCTAAATTTTCATCATTGTTACTTGAATCCATCTAAAATTATATTTTATAATCCTTATGAGAAATAATACTTGAAAACCTATAACTTTTATTATTCGATCAATTTGTACACTTGCAGTTATTATGAAAATAAGTTATCAGGGTGACATCGTCTAATTGCTAAAGGTATCAAGAATGGGAGTGGTGAGGAAAATGACACAACAATAAGAAGACATGAGCGACAAAGGTTAGGGAAAGAAAGTGTGAAAGTCAAAATGAGAAAAGAGATTAGAGATTTTAGATATTAAAAAACATAGTTTTTTAATACTTAGGATCGACCTTAAATTTTTTAAAAACATAACTTTTTTACAAATTTATTCTACTGAATGATTTTTTTTTTTGTTATTTGAAATTTATCTTTTTAAATACAAATGTATTGTCAACAGAATAATTCTATTGATATTCTATTGGTGAAATATATTTTTATGAAATACCGACAAAAATTTTTTGTCAGTAAATATAGCACAAAATTCTTATGTTCTCTCTAAATTTTATTTATAAAATATCGATAGAATTTTTTTTTCATAAGTAATCAATAATTCATTGATAATTCGTAAATTAATTTTTTATTTTATTTCATGGATAATCTGTCAGTATTTGTCGATGAAAGAACTTTGTTGATAGAATTTCATTGGTATTGAACTAATTTATAAAACTTACAAAACTACTACGTACTACATACTATTTGTATGTTTTTCTATTACTACTACTAGTAAATAAATTATCAGGTACTGTATCTGTGTAGAATAGTCGACATCGTTTCATCCTGGTTTTCTAATTTTAAGTCCTGAAAGGCTGAAACGCCTGCTCTGGCATCACCGGCAGACCAGACCCAGTTGTAGTTGTAGTTGTAGTTGTAGACGAGAAGTAGCCTTCTGTGGCTGGCTCTCTGAGTGATCTGGGTAGGTTTGGGTTCGCTCGGATTGCAGAAGATGAGAGTATATTCCATATTCATTCTCCTCGTGTTATTCATAGCTTCATTTTTTAGATCAGCATCTTGTTCTCCCAAATACCCTTTTCTTGGAATTTCTCCTCAAGGTCTTTTCATTTTTTTTTTTTAATCTTCAAATGAATTACATTACTATTTTTATTTTTGCTTATGCTGACAACAGCTGATATGAATGATACCCAGACGAAAAGTTCTACAAGCCATCATCAGATAGCATAAAGTGCAAAGACGGGTCCAAGAAATTCTCTAAATCCCAGCTGAATGATGACTTCTGCGATTGCCCCGATGGCACCGATGAGCCTGGTCTGCGTTCCCTTCGATTTTCCTTTTGTTTTGATTGGTACATGGGATATGGGGCGTCTTCTTGTTAACCCTCATTTGCCCTCGTAGGTACATCGGCCTGCCCAACTGCAAAGTTCTACTGCCAAAATGCTGGACACCTTCCGCAATTCTTATTTTCTTCCAGAGTGAATGATGGTATATGTGGTAAGTGTCTTACTCTATTCTATTCTAAGCGCACTGCGTTCATTGAAATTCCTGATATTTTTACAACAATAGAAGTCTTATCGATCCTCTCATACTCTCTGTTTATATTGAGCTGCTTTTTCACTGGTTTCCAATTCCCAGATTGTTGTGATGGGAGTGACGAGTATGATGGTAAAGTGAAGTGCCGCAATACGTGCTGGGAGGCTGGCAAAGCAGCTAGAGATAGGCTGCTCAAAAAAATATCTACATATAAGGAGGGGACTACACTGCGAAAGCTGGAAGTTGAACGGGTTAAAATAGCCATAGCCAAAGATGAAGCAGAACTAACAAAGCTTAGAAATGAGGAGAGGATATTGAAGGGCCTTGTTCAAGAGCTTAAAGGTAACACCTTCTTGTGAAGATTCCTTGATATTCGTCCTATTATCATTGTCATTGTTTCAATGTTGTATTTTCCTCTAATATGAATTTCTTGTATACATTCAGGAGTTTTATTTACTTTCTCTTGAGGTTGTGTGTAATGTGAGTATCATCATGATTGGAAACAAAAAATTTTATAGTCAGAAGGTAAATGCTTTCACATGTGGCATGACATCTGCTTACTTGAAACAAGATTTTGTTATCAAGGCTCCAATTGGTGCTGTCATTAGTTTCCTCATATGTCCATTTAGCTAAATTTCTCAAGGATGCACGTTACAACTCTTATATGCCCTTAATATACGTGGATATGGGTTTATTATAATTTATAAAGTGTGTTTATAGCTGGCTTTCAATTCAACTCAACTCAATTTGTCCTGCCCTTTCTCTCATTAATTATGGTGTCATTTGACAGCATTTTATCCTGTCTAATGCCAATGTTCATGAAATTTTTGGCAATTAAATTGTCTCACAATGTGTATTGGTGTTTTTTAGCTTTCAATGTGTAATTTGTGTATCTTCAAGGTTAATTACACTATTCTTGTTTCTGCAACATAAGGCAGTTTATGCTTCTAGTAATCGATGACATTTTTCTTCATTTTTGTTTTCTGATGGAAAGGAGGAATAATTGAAAAGTTTTTAAACCAATACTTATGCCATAAATGGAGATTACAATATTTGACCGTTAGATTAGAAAATGTTCCAAGCTTTCCCCTTTTAGTCTCAACTGTCCACCTACTAAGCAGAGCCTTAATCTTCATTTGGTCATTTTATTTGTTTTATGAATATGGTCATTGTTTTGTCTGTGCTTCTGTTTTTTTTAGTCTTTGGCTAAGCAATCATTTTGTATTATGTACTTTGTTGTAGTGCAACTCTCATTATTATTCGTACCATCTTCTTTCTTAATTTGGACTTTGGCTTGATTATTTTCTGTATTTAAAAAAATTTCTTTTAAACTTGATGGGTATTTTATGACTGCAAAGCACTGGTTATGACGTCGTGATCTAATCTAGTGCTACCTCCTTATAGCAATATTTAAGATCTTGGGTTAGAATCCTTTTTTTTTTTTTTGGCCAAATGGTTTTGAATCTGGTCATCAATCATGGATAGTTAAACATGTGAAAAAAAAGGCCACCCATTTTGTTTCATAAGACAACCAATGAAATTTAAAAAAAAAAAAAGAAAAGCAAAGCACTTGTCTACCTTTTACTTTCCTTGCACGTCCATTTACAACAAATACCTTTATCAATTGAGTAGATGATCAAAATAAATGAATCCATTCTTTCTCTATAGCTGCTTTTCTTTTTTTTTTTTTCTTCTTTGTTCCTTATCGTTTTAAATATGGTGCTATTTGATAATGCATTGAAAAAAAATAAAATTTCTAAAATTTTCTTTCTTCATTGTGATCCATCATTCATTGAGGGTACTACATGATTGAATATTTCAAGTTAAAAGGTGCAAAGAATGTGAAGTGGCTATAAGCAATCAAAATTGTTTCAAAATTTTCTTATTGTGTGACAACATTAAATTTATTGTACTAACTAAAGTTCTTTCCATACTTTCTTCTTTGAACCATTGCAATTATAATCTATATAGAAACTGTGTATCTCTTTTGCATAAAACCAATCAGAATTTTTACAGAACTTAATTGTAAGACATATATTGAACGGTTTCACAATACAAATTTCAACGTTAAATTTTGTTAGTTTTTCAAATAGCTCCTAAATTGTGTCTGTGTAGGGATCAAATGATCAAATTTTCATCCATGTGCTGTTCAAATTGATCTAAGGGTCCAATTTCTTGATCTTATACCTGTTAATATTGAGCTTATTACAAAATGATTTTTTTGCTTATTTCGTGTAGAACGTATAGAACAGATCGAGAAAGCAGAGGAGAAAGCAAGGTTGCAGAAAGAAAAGGAAGAGAACAAAAAAAGAGAAGCAGAGGAAGCTTTAAGGGAAAAAGGGGAATCTGAGGAATGGAAGGTGGAAAATGAAAGAGTTGAGGGAGAAGCTAGCAATGAAGACAAGCCCACAGAAAGTACACATGATGATATAATTGGAAACATGGATGATTCTTCTTTAAATGAGGTCGGACTAGGTTTTTTTTTTCTAATTTTTCTTTCGGTGTCTTTACATTGTGCACATCTTGTTTCTTCTGTTTTGTTTGTTTTTTGTTGTCTTTGTCATTATCACCCTTTTGACAGGACCTCAAAATAGATGACAGTGATGGTGATCCAGCAGCAGAAGTTGAAAATAGTGATGCTCCCAAAAGTGAAGGAGCTCCACTAAATAGGGTAGAGGAGGTAGGCTAAGACATTAGAATGGTCTATTTCTTCCACATAGATCCTCCAAATGCTTGTACCATTGTTCTTTGTTAGACAATGACATATTCATACTTTGTTATGTAGCATGTGTCAGATAATAAAAATGAGTCTGCTTCACCGAGACACAAGGATGTTTCTTCTGTTGCAACTGAAATTGATCATGATGCTGGAAGCAAAGTATCACCTGATGAAGATAAGAAAGCGATAAGTTTCTCTAGTCTCCAGGTTTCCTTGTTTGTCAGAAGCTTCTACAATACTATGCTATAATTTGATGAAGAAATTGTTATGAATTGGACTTGGTGGATAATCCCCTTTAAGTTGTTTTTTGGAAATAAGTTGAAGCATGTTGTCGGAAAAGTTTGATAGAATTCTAACCCAAGGATCATGGTTACATCAATTAAAATAAATCAACAAAAATGTATTAGGATCAAGAGATTAAGGGTCCCAAAAATGGCTCAGAATGGAGACAATCATGAAGTTTTGTTTCAAAAAAGGAAAATAATATTTGTCTGCCACTTTTGTCCCGGCACATTGGTCCCTCCTGATGTGGCAATAATCTATTGGTTTTAATTACTTGCCCATGAATTTATAGACCCAACATTTGAATTTATCCAGTAACTATTTTCCATGTCAGGGAGTACAAATATTTGGGATAAAATTAGTGTTTCAAGTAGCATGATTCTTCAATGAAAGGTGTATAGGAACAGGTTAAGCTGGCGTTTTTGGTTTTACTTATCAAGATTTTATCCTGCATTAGTGTAAAACTTGTATCTTTTAATTGTCTCTATTATAGGCATAAATTAGAGGAAGTTTAGTTCACATCCATTGGTCTCAGTTAATATGTTTGGTTGTGTTCTAGACTCTGTATTTATAACAACTTCAGTAATTTTCTGTTGTGGGGTATAAGAATTGGTCTGAGAGTGAAAGGGAAAAAGGAACCTTGGGTAGGATTCTGTTTGAGGTTTTCAATTTGTGAACTAATGGTTTTCTTGGGGGCTACTCCAGTTGGGGTATATTTTTCCTAACAAAGTTTCTCATAAATTCTGGCATTCATAAGCTTATCAAGTTTCTGAGGTATCTCGTCTTTGTTTGTCTACATAATTGCAGGAGAATGATGCATCATCTGAAATTTCAGAGGGATTGTCGAGGGAAGAGTTAGGTCGCGTTGTTGCATCCCGTTGGACTGGGGAAAGTACTGAGAATCAAGGTGGTACAAAAGATAATGCTGATGACAGCCATAAAGAGCTGCCTAAGGACACTTATGATGAGCAATATGATGGCTATGCTTCTGATACTAATGAAGACACTGGAAAATATGATGACAATGGAAAATATGATGATGATGATGATGAGGATGATGATATAGATGAACTGGATGAAGGTTATGAAGAGGAGAATCATGATGTTACGACTTCAGAAAAATCTGACTTAGATGATGAACCTGACTTGTCAGGTGTGCAGTTCTTTTGTAGTCAATATTTCATTTTAAGCTTGGCTAATGCAATCCCTAAGCTTACTGTTAAATATGGTGTTAGATACAACTTCCTCAAATAACCCATCTTGGTTGGAGAAGATACAACAAACAGTTAGGAATATTCTAGTGGCTGTTAATGTATTCCAAACTCCTTCAAACATATCAGGTATATATATTGAACTCCTAATGTTATTTACTACTTCAAATTTAAGTGAGCCTATGGAAATGACTAATCCGTTCTGTCTTGTTCAGAGGCTGCTGGTGTACGCAAGGAATATGATGAATCCAGTGCCAAGTTATCTAAAATACAATCAAGATTATCAAGTTTGACACAAAAGCTAAAACATGATTTTGGTATGTAATGAACTGTTTCAGTGTCTAAGCAGTGAAAATTTGGCTTCTATAAACTAAACTTGGGTTTAATATTACAGGACCAGAGAAGGAGTTCTACACATTCTATGATTGTTGTTTTGAGAGCAAGCAGAATAAGTTACAAGCTTCTTCTTTTAGTAGTTTGTTCGTTTATCACTTTCTCTGTTATATAGATTGTCTGACAAATCGTTGCTATAATATATCCATTTGTTTCACCTTTTATGACCAAAACTTTTGGCTTCAGGTATGTTTACAAAGTGTGTCCATACAAACAAGCTTCTCAGGAGGGCCACACAACAACTCGTTTGGGGTAGGTGTAATGCATTTATTTTGTACCTTCTTTGATTGAATCCTTTTCCTTTCTATACGGTGGAAAATTGAGGTGATATTTGGGTGATTAAGGGATAGGATACACTACCTGAAATCTATTTGCTCTTTCTCAATTTTGAGATCAGCATATATTTTATTCTTGCCAATGGGAAATCAACTTTAGAGATGAATCTCTTAGCTTACCAATCAATCATTATTTGGAGAATTTGTGGTTTATTTATTCATATGCTGCATTGAATTCCTGGGATAAATTAAGCCCTCCTTTTGGATATGTAGTTGTCCAGGTGGTTAGAATGGTGTTATCTTCTTCATGCATGTTTGTTGCATATGCCTTGCAGTACTATTGTCTGAAACGTATCTGACAAACATGGGAATTGAGGTCCAACCCTTCAATATATGAAAAAAAAAAAAATGAATGTACCTGTGTTAGACATATACCTGTATTCAGCACTCACTTCCTAGCCTGAGTAACATAAGACTATACGTAATCATGTAATTGTGGTTTTCATTGTGTGCATGGATGAAAGCATGTAGGGTTTTTTAGCCTTTTAGCTTGTGAGTTTTCTTCAAACTGAATATTTATAATTTTCATATCGATGGCTTGTCTACTAGGCGTTGGGACAAATTTGAGGACTCATACAGGATGATGGTATTTTCAAATGGAGATGGGTGCTGGAATGGCCCAGATAGGAGTATGAAGGTAATGTTGCAATGCATGGTTTCATGTTATGGTTTGTTATTAGTAAAGGAATACATCGCTAAAAGTACTTCCTTTAAATGAGTGGGCTGTTTAATTTTGAAATGGTTTTATTTTTCAAATTTTATTGTAGGCTTGAGTGAGTTATAGGTAAACTGAGAATGAATTGTAAAGTTGATTATCAATTTGATTTAGTTCTTCTATTCTCGTTCTTCTTCCTTTCAGGTGAAATTAAGATGCGGCTTAAAAAATGAGATCACTGATGTTGATGAACCAAGCCGTTGCGAGTAAGAATCTCTCTCCATCTCTCTCTCTCTCTGTTGTCTGTGTGTGCATGCACATGTCTTGCTCCTAACAGTTAGTTTGTCATGGCAGATATGTAGCATTATTGTCCACCCCAGCTCTCTGCCTGGAAGATAAGCTAAAGGTGATTGGCTGTTACTTTAACGAATTTAGTGATGCAATACTCTTCTCTGCTGCTTTAAAATTTCTAAACAGGTTGGTAGTTGTAATTGTGTTAGGAGCTGCAACATAAACTAGACTTGATGAAACAAGAACAACCTCGAGAACATGATGAACTTTGAGGAGCCTGGATAGAAGTTTCCCGGACCTGGTAAAGGGTGATTGCCTTCGGTACTAATCTTATCATTAGAATGCTTATCAGTTCGATCTTAGTAATGAAGAAATTTAGAATGTGGCCTTTCTGAGCTGGTAGAGTGAAGGGTTCCAAGCAATATCTGAGATGGCCTCCTGAATAAATTTTTTCATAATATACTTCATATTGCAATAACACGGATGGATTGAGGTGCAATTATATTTGTCCGGCTGAGCTAAACTGATTTTGGTAACATTAATTGGTCCTGTCATACTTATTTGAATTTCTGCACAGGATAATTATAAAAAATACTGGTAGTAAGAGATGACACTAGTTTCAGTGACCTGTGGTTCTGTTGACAATTTGTTAACTGTCAATTTTCTTATTTCCATAATATTCATTTTTGACCAATATGGGATTTCAAAGCACCATTAACAATAGATGATGTATTTGTAGGGTTAGGATTCTTTGGTGCGCAGGCGGTCCTGCTTATTACTTTTTTTAATTGCTATATCACGCAATGAACCCGGAATATTGATCAGGAAAATTTCATTAAAATAGCTTGGATTATTCAAAGTTGTGTTTCATTGCAAAAACAATACTATTCTTTTCATTTATAGCAACTTTTTTGTTGGATACAAAAAGAACGCTGACCAATGAGATCTCAGTCAACATGGCAAGCAGTTTGTTTTCATGGCCGTCCAAGTCAAACTTTGAATGAGTGCTTTTTACTCGGAATCCAATCGAAACTTTTACAGGCACTGTTTTTCTATAGATGTCAAACATGGATGGCATCAGGCTCTGTTGTCCTATTTTCCTTTGAATTTTGACCGTCGTATTCGCTAGTCAATTGATTTGATTTTAAATTTCTTTTTTCAAGATCACGCAAAAAGCCTGACAGAGAAGGGTGACAGAGTAGTGGCTCAAAAGTGAAATTGTTTTGTAGGTGCTGTTTTTGCGACTAATATATCATCGTGCAAAATAGAGCATGGTTTCGGGCAGCGCAGCTTGTAGGTTGTGGCAATGCAGCTCGCAGGCTGCGCAACACACTGTATAAATTGTGCAACATCTAGCAAAGACAATACGGAATGGCTAACCAAAATATGAAGAGCCGTGGACTTAAATCCAAAATAAGTGGTAGGATTCTTGGGTTTACTCTACCTACGAGATGTTCTGGAGAGTATGATTTGGAGCTTCATATATGGAGGTTGTTATGAAGTGGTTTCTTAACCTTTCTCTAAAATGCAAGTGTTTCTCATTTTCTATGAACAAGTGTAGCATTTCTGTGTGCTAGCGTAACGAATTATTACTCCTTGTGACCAAAAACATATTTTAGGACAGGCTTTAATTTCTCACGGCTGTCTTTTCCCATTAACCCATGTTTTATGCAACTTTCATGTAACTAGCATCCTTATAACTTCCCACTCCCCACTCTCATTTGTAATTTCTCCTTGTTGGCCAATAGATAGTGATCTACATACTTCATTTTGGATCTTTTGGCAATCTGACGATTTAGCTCTCAAGATTTTCTATGCAATTCTTTTTGTCTCTCTAAAATTATTCCAGCCATCATACTTTTCACCTTCCTCAACCATCTTTTTCCTTCACCGTCACCAACTACCACAATACTTGTCTCTATCTATTTTACTGACTTAGATATGGAGGTTGTTTAAAAGTGTTCTTCTTAAGCTTTCTCTAAAATGCAAGTGTTTCCCATTTTCTTTGTACAAGTGGCATATTTCTATGTGTGCAGTAGCACGACTACCTATTACTCTTTGTGCCCAAAAACATTCTTGAAGACATGCTTTAACTTCTCACATCTATCTTTTCCAATTAACTCATGTTTTAGGCTACTTTCATGAAATTAGTGTCTTTATAACTCCCCACTCTCATTTGTAATTTCTCTTTGCAGGCCAATAAATATAGTGATCCTCATGCTTTATTTTGGATGTTTTGGCAATCTAACGAATTTTGGCTCTCAAGATTTTCTTGGCAGCTCTTTTTGTATTTCTTTCTAAAATTATTCCAGCCACCATAATTTCACCTTCCTCAATCGTTTTCTTCCTTCATTGTCACCTCCATTAATGGCGTGGATCTTAGGAGTTGACTTGGAGGTTGACATGAGTTGTTCAAATGATGATTGAAGTCATATTCAAACCTTGATGGCTTCATAAAGAAGGGACCTGAATGACACCACAAGAAGCTACCTAGTGAGGTCACATGTACTAGATGACAATCGAATACAAAGGACAAATTTTGCAAGATTTTTGCTGCTGTAATTCTTTGGCTTCTAGAAGGATTTTTCGGGCTGAAAATGCAATGGTGACATGGATTTATAGTACATTCCAATTGGCTAGAAGGTTGCACAAGGATCATCCAAGACGAAGGACACTCACCTCATGGAGTTGCTAATGCCGCAAACTGTCCTACCCGCATCGGTCATGGTTTTGGCTCATTTTCTAGAAGGGTGAAGACAAGCTGAGCTGGCCGCTGAGTTGGCACTTCAAGGAGGTGGCATTGGTCCACCTAGGCAGGTCACATGGGCTGCCAAAGTGTTAGAAGAAGCTGCCTTCCCTAGATTAGGTCAAACTTGCCTTGAGCTGGATTGAGTTGCTGCCTTCATCTCATTGGACCAGTTGAACAGCCAAAGACGCATCCTTTGAAGACTCTAGAAGCATGGGAACTCACCTCACGCATGGTAACAATAAGACAACTTATTGAACCAACCAAGCAAGCTTCACACGGAAGAGAGCATAGCTGGAAATGCCTAGTCAGCAGGGGCGGTTTCTTCAAGCTTCTAAAACACTACAAAATTCTCTTTGGCTGAGTTGGAATTATGGAGGGTTAGGACCTTAATTTGGTTGGGAAATACACTAAGTTTTGGCTATAAATAAGGCCTTAATAGCTAACCTAGGGAGTCTTTTTTTTATTTTTTTTACATTTTTTCTTCTTAGCTTTCAACCAGCCTTCTACAGTTTTGATGGCAACATGCTTGCTGGCCATTCAAACTTTCCTTGTGGCTTCATTGTTTTTGCTTTTCTAGTTATTTTTCCAGCTCTTTCATTGTTCTTTTGCTTCCTTTTTACTTGTTTGAATTTTCTTTTTATTGCAAACACTTCACTCAACTTTGTTCTCTTTGTTCAATTCAAGTTTGGTTTCTTGTTTTTATTACATTTTTATTGCAGCAATTTGTGTGTGATGTTTATGCTCTTTGAAGCTTGAGAAGGATGGTCTTGAATGCTATTTTGATGTCCTCATCAGAGGGCTTCAATGGCTTAACTCTCTTATTTGATTTATTTTTCCTGCCATATACATTTACTGCCTTTAATTTTCTGTTCTTTAATTTTTGTTGCTGTTTATATAGTGTTTTCATGCTTCTATTATGTTATAAATTCATGCTTAAGTGTTAGATACAAGTTTAAGTAAATGCCTTAACAGTAGGATCTTCATTTCATACGTTTTTCTTTTCATTTTTCTTGCATGTTCAAACCAGTTTTTCACCATCTTAGGTTCCGTTTTTTAATTCACCTACACACTTTGTGTTTATTCTTAAGTCTATTTTGAAGTCTTGCATTTTGTTTTCATGGTTAATGTAGGAATTGTTAGTTTTATTAGCTACCGGCCCATTAGGTTCTTCTTTATGTTATTTTCATTTCTGATTTTTGCAATCGGTTTTCCTTAAATTTTGGTTAGTTTTAGAAAATGTTTACCTACAGCTTTTTATTTGGTTTATTTTCAAGTCTATTTTGAAGTAAGGCATCCAATTCTTACAATTCCTTTAGGGTCTTAAGCATTCCTTAGCATTTTAGCTTCCACGCCTCAGTACCTTGCATTTTAGGGTCTCAATTTTGCATGCCATTTTTTGTCAAGTTGGTTTGGTTTTTGGACTTAGTTTCCTAGATCTTTTGTTCCATTTTGAGTCTATTTTGAGTTAGTACAATTTGTTTGCATGTTTCTTTTCATTTATGCATAATTGTTCACCATCTAGGTTAGTAGGTTATGTTGGTCATTTCTGTTTTAGGAGTATTTTATTTTCTATTTCTTAGGATTGTTTTCATTCTATTTTCCAATTTATTTAGGTTGCACTCTTAGTTCTTAATAGTCATTAATCTAGTCTCTTAGAATGTATTTAGATTAAGCATCCTTTTTTTTTGAATTAATTGCATTTTAGTTTTTAACGTGTGATTAATTGTTTTCCTTTGCATTTGGTAGGTTGTGTTGGTTTTACTTACCAAATTTTATTTTCTATTTTCTAGTCTTTGAACTTATTAATTTGTGTTTGAAATTGCATTTTTAAGTATGTTTAAGTTTCGGTTATGCCTTTGTTAATTGTTGCTTGGTTGCTTTTTCATTTACTTAGCTTATAGCCTTAGTTTTTATTCTTGTTTTTGCATTTTTATTAATTTCGGTTCATGCCATTTAGTTTCAGTTAGTTTAATTTTCATTTAGTTATAATTTAGGATAAAAATGATTTACGGTTTAGTTAGGGTTTAGAAATTTCTATTTTTAGTAACTTGTCATTTTTAATAATTTCCCTTTTTAATAAGTTTTCCATTTAGTTAATTTCATTTTCATAATTTGTAGTTAATTAAGTTTAATCATTTGGTAAATTTTAGGATTAATTTTAGGTTAATTAGATAATAAAAAAATTTTGGATCAAATATACTTTATGTTTAGAAGACTTAGATTAGTGATCCTAATCCATGAGGATATGGTTCTCGAAATACTTTTCATCTATATTACTTTTGTGATCTATACACTTATAGTATCAGTAACAAGTTTTTAGCACCGTTGCCGAGGATTGGCTACTTAGTCTAGGGGTAATATTGATAGCATACATGCTATGGTATAATCTGGTCCTTTATTTCTTGTAAATACTTTTGTTTATTCGTTTGATTTTATTTTGTTGTTTGCTTATTTAATGTTTTTTGTTTTAATTTTTAATTTTTATCTTTTTTATCTATTTCCTTATTATTCTATAATTGGTATATGCATAGGATTAGAAGCGTTGATCTAATTCTTTTAGACCCTAAAATAGAGAAAATCGTTAGAAACCTTAGAAAGGAAAGATTAAGAAATCCAATTCATCCTTAAACCATGGCCAACCCCATAGATAACAGAACCTTATAAGATTACCCTGTGCCCAACATGAATGGTTTTCAACAATGTATAAGATGGCTAGCAATCCAAGCACACAATTTTAAGAACAAACCTACAATTATCCAATTGATTCAAACTTCTATCCAATTCGAGGGTCTTACTTGTGAGGATTCGAACACACATTTAGGGAACTTTCTAGAGATTTGTAATACTTTCCAATTTAATGGTGCTTCTGATGATGCCATTAGACTTATATTGTTCCCTTTCACTCTACATGATAAGGCTAAGACTTGAATGGCCTCGAGATCACCATTACTTGGGATGACCTTGTCTAAAAGTTTTGCAAAAATTCTTTCCATCGGCTAAGACTGCAAAGCTTTATAATGATATCACCAGTTTTACTTAGTATGAGTCTGAGTCTTTTTCTGATGGCCTAACTATATGGCTTGAAATTCAAACATTTTATAATGGACTCTTAAGAAACATTAGGATGATCATGGATGTTGTTGCTGATGGAGCACTTATGGGAAAATCTATTGATAATGCTTACGAGCTTATTAAAAACATGGTAGCGAACCATTATCTGTGGTCGTCAGAAAGACAAAATCATAAAAAGGTTACTAAAGTTTACGAGTTAGATACCTTTAATGCTATTATTGCTTAGATAGCTAGCTTAGCTAAAAAAGTAAAGGTCTTAGGATCTAGTTCTAGTCCTGCTTCTATTCCTAGTCTATTCAATCCATACAAACCCATTCGTAGTTGCAAAATGTGTGGTTGTAGTCACTTAGTAGATCGTTACCTCATTAGGTTAGAGTATGTCCATTCTATTGCTCAACATAGTAAACAACTAAACAATCCTTACTCCAACATACAATCTTGGCTAAAAGAATCACCTGAACCTCTCATGGTCAAGCAATTAAGGGCAGCCATCCAATTTTAAACCATAATACCCACCTAGCTTTTCTCAGCTTTCAGTTTCTTAATACCATCCATCACAACATTCTTCCCCTCAAGAAAAAAAAACTTCTTTTGAATATATCTTCTTTTATATTCTCCAAAACCAAAACAATATGTTGGTAAATCAAGGCAACCTCATTAAGGGATAGTCTGCCACCCTTCAAAGTTAGGCAACTGCTATAAAAAACCTAAAGGTACAGATGGTAAAGTTAGCTAGTGCCTTTAATAACCTTTCATAAGGTACCTTTCTTACCAACTCTGAAGTCAAAGAAAGTTAAAGAGCATTATAAAGCAACTTACCGTAAGAGTGGCAGAGAAGTGACTAGTGACTAGTATCCTTGATAGGCCCACCTTTATAGCTGCACCTATAGTGCCTATTGTGGTGGAGGAGAAAATAAAAGAAAATGATGTAAAAGAAAAAAATAAAAAACAGGTGGAGGATTCTTTGACTCATTAATCTAATACTTATATTTGCAGTTCATTTATGCCTAGTGCTAGCAAGCTTGATCCCAAATTCCAGTAGCAATATAAATTTGATTAGTAATTTTTCACATTATTAGAGATTTTCAACAAGTTGCAAATCAATACTCCA